AGGGTTTAAGAGCACACACGCGCCTACGCTCGCCGCGGGGCGCGCACTTTCGCCCTCTGGCCTCCGCCGAGGCCACGGAGTTTGTGGAAGGGGAGGCCGGAGCGGGGCGGGCTGCCTGGGGTCACCGGGCTCGGCGCCAAGTCCCCGTGCCAGGCTGGGAGCCTCCCCGCGGGGCCCGCGGGGGCCTGGCTGGGGAAGGAGGAGCCTGGGCCGAGGGGACGCTGACGTCCTGTCTCCCGCGCAGGTGCTCTGGCCAGTCTTTGCCAGGTGTGTGACTTAATCCGCCTCCGCAGCCAGATCTTTATCCGTGGGTTCGTCGGCTAAGACCGCTGGTGAGTGGGCTGGGGGTTCGGGCCCCTGGGTCTGGGGGAGGAGAGGTGGAGGCCCCGACTCCTGGGTCTGGGGAAAGAGGGCTGGGGGCCTGGACTCCTGGGGCTGGGGGAGGAGGGGCTGGGGGTCTGGACTCTTGGGCTGGAGGAGGAGGAGCTGGGGACCGACCTGGACTCCTGGGTTTGAGGAAGGAGGGGCTGGGGGCCTGGACTTCTGGGTCTCAGGTGGGAGGGCTGGGGCCTGGACTCCTAGATCCTGTGAGAAGCAGAACCTGGAAGTTTGGGTTCCAAGGAAGTGGGACCCAGGCACCCACGTGTCTGAGGAAGAGTCCAGGAGCTGGGTCGGCAGCCCCAAGTGGTTAGGGCCTGTTGATCCAGCCCTGGCTTTCCTGGTGCCTAGGGCTGGAAGGAGGAAGTTGTGTTTCCTGGCCCGAGCCAGGCCTTCTCATGGTATCAGCTAAGAGATTAGACTTTTTTGTGGCCTGAGGACGGATCTGGGCACCGGGTCCCTCCGAGGCTGGCCACTCGATTCCCTGGGGGGTTTTTTTGCCACAAGTGAGTGGACGCTGTAGAGATTTTGGAAGTCCAGAGTCTCGGGCATCTGGGATACCCCACGTGGAGGCCCAGGCTCTGGAGGCAGAGGATCTGTGGGAATCCATGCAGCCAGGAGATTTCGGAGGAAGGGGCTGGGTGCTGGGCAGTGGGGAGTCTGGGAGCTGAGTTTTCCAGAAGCTGGGAACCCGCTGGGTTTTGCGGGGAGAAGGGGGAGGCAGACTCAGCCTGCTTGGGTTGCAGTAAATGTCAGGTGGGAACTAGACCGAGCGAGAAGATTCCTGATCTCTGGAGGGGCTGCTGAGAGTGAAGGCCCAGTTCCAGAAGGTTTGGTTCCAGGAGCTCAGTGAGAGGAGGCCGACTGGGAGTGTGGGAGCTCTGGTCAGGTGCGGATCCCTGTCACGTAGACACAGAGACGCTGGACTCTTGGAGGTTTAGGGACTGGAAATGTCTAGATGACTGTTGAGTGGAAGGAGGTTTGCTCATGGGCTGGGTGCAGAGTGCTGGACACCCAAGGGAGGAAGGGCTGGGGGCCTGGACTGTTGGGTCTGAGGGAGGAGGGCTGGGGCTTGGACTCCTGGATCTGAGGGAGGAGGGCTGAGGGCCTAGCCTCCTGAGTCTGAGGGGCTGGGGATTCCTGCTCCAGGGGTGCTAGGGAGGAGGGGCTGGGGCCTGGGCTCCTGGGCCTGGGGGAGGAGGGGCTGGGAATTCCGACCCCCGGGTCTGAGAGAAGAGGGGCTTGGGGCCTGGACTCCTGGGTCTGAGGGAGGAGGGGCTGAGAGTCTGGACTTCTGGGTCTGAGGGAGGAGGGCTGAGGGTCTGGACTCCTGAATCTGAGGGAGAAGGGTCTGGGGATTCCAACTCCTGGGTCTGACAGAGGAGGGGGCTGGGGGCCTGGACTCCTGGGTCTGAGGGAGGAGGGGCTGGGGCCTGGATTCCCCAGTCTGAGAGAGGAGTTGGGGTGTTTAGAGTTTGCAGAAGACAGGTTTCTTGTCCTGACACTTGAAGGCAGAAGGGGAAGGATGCTTTTGACCACAGTTACCGCGTCCCTAAGAAGGAGACGAAGGCGACAGGAGAGTGTCTGGAATGGAAATGAAGAAAAGTAGTTCTACATTAGTTAGGTCTCAAGGGAGAACATGGATCTCTTGGGAAGGAGAAAAATGGCCTAGACTCCTGGGTTCTGACAGCGTGGGAGGAGTGGGCCTCAAACTGGGTGTACGACTTGGTCCTGTATGCCCGGGACTGACTGGCTGTTTGAAAACTGAAAGCTGCTGGACGCCGTGGCTTTTGCCTATAATCCCAGTACTTTGGGGGGGCTAAGGCGAGAGGATTGTTGAGCCCAGGGGTTCAAGACCACCCTGAGCAACATAGTGAGACCTGATCTCTACAAAAATCAAAATATTAGCTGATGGGCTAGGCGCGGTGGCTTATGCCTATAATCTCAGCATTTTGGGAGGCCAAAGTGAGAGGATTTCCTGAGCCCACGGGTTCGAGACCAGCCTGGGAAACTTGGCAAGCCCTCGTCTCTACAATAAATCAAAAAATTAGCTGGGCATGGTGATGCGTGCCTGTAGTTTCAGCTACTTGGAAGGCAGAGGCGGAAGGATCACTTGAGCCCAACAGGTTGAGGCTGCAGTGACCATGAGCGTGCCATTGCACTCCAGCCTGGGCAACAGAGTGAGACTCCAACTTAAAAAAAAAAAAATTAGCTGGGTTTAGAGGTGTGCACCTGTTGTCCCAGCTACTTGGGAAGCTGAGGTGGAAGGATCGCCTGAGCCATTAGGTGGAGGCTGGAATGAGTTGTGACTGTGCAACTGCACACCAGCCTAGGTGACAGAGTGAGACCCCAACTCAAAAATGAAAAAAAAAAATCAAAAAAGAAAACAGAAAACCTAGCAACTGTCTAGCAATGAATATGTGCCCAGGGAAGGCGAGGGCTGGAGGGGCCTGTGTTCCGTGCTTGAAACCTCACAGGGACACTGTCTTTCCGTTCCCTGCAGCCATGCCGGTGACAGTGACCCGCACCACCATCACGACCACCACGTCATCGTCCTCGGGCCTGGGGTCCCCGACCATCGTGGGGTCTCCCCGGGCCCTGGCCCACCCCTTGACCCTCCTGCGCCTGCTGCAGCTGGTATCCACCTGCGTGGCCTTCTCGCTGGTGGCCAGCGTGGGTGCCTGGATGGGACCCATGGGCAACTGGTCCATGTTCACGTGGTGTTTCTGCTTCGCCGTGACCTTGGTCATCCTCATCGTGGAGCTGGGCGGTCTCCAGTCGCGCTTCCCCCTGTCTTGGCGTAACTTCCCCATCACCTACGCCTGCTACGCGGCCCTCTTCTGCCTGTCGGCTTCCATCATCTACCCCACCACCTACGTCCAGTTCATGTCCCATGGTCGCTCGCGGGACCACGCCATTGCCGCCACCTTCTTCTCGTGTATCGCCTGCGTGGCCTACGCCACCGAGGTGGCCTGGACCCGGGCACGGCCCGGTGAGATCACTGGCTATATGGCCACCGTGCCGGGGCTGCTCAAGGTGCTAGAGACCTTCGTGGCTTGCATCATCTTTGCGTTCATTAGCAACCCTCAACTGTATCAGCACCAGCCGGCCCTGCAGTGGTGTGTGGCGGTCTACTCCATCTGCTTCATCCTGGCAGCCGTGGCCATCCTGCTCAACCTGGGCGACTGCACCAACATGCTGCCCATCCCCTTCCCCAGCTTCCTGTCGGGGCTGGCCCTGCTCTCCGTGCTGTTCTATGCCACTGCCCTTGTCCTCTGGCCCCTCTACCAGTTCGACGAGCGGTACGGTGGCCAGCCCCAGCGCAGGAGTGATCCGGGCTGTGCCAACAGGCACCCCCACAGTGTGTGCAGCTGGGACCGCCGGCTGGCAGTGGCCATCCTGACGGCCATCAACCTGCTGGCATATGTGGCCGACCTGGTGTACTCTGCCCGCCTGGTCTTTGTCAAGGTCTAAGACTCTCCCAAGGGGCTCCCCATTCTCTCTTCAACCTCTTCAGTCTCTGTTATTTCTCCTTCTTGTCCTCTAATTTCCTCTTCTGGCTCCCCTCCCTCCCTCCTACCCTTTCCCCCCCTTGACTCATCACACTCTTTTCCATTTCTTTTTTAAAAAATTTTTTTGTAGAGACAGGCACAGTAGCTCATGCCTGTCATCCCGGCACTTTGGGAGGTGGAGGTGAGAGGATTGCCTGAGCCCAGGAGTTCAAGACCAGCTTGGGCAACTTGGCGAGACCTCTCTATAGTAAATAAAAAAATTAGCCAGGTATAGTGGCACGTGCCTTTGGTTCCAGCTATTTGGAAGGCTGAGGTGGATGGACCACCTGAGCCCAGCAGGTTGAGGTTGCAGTGGCTGTGAGTGTGCCACTGCATTCCAGCCTAGATGACAGAGTGACTCTGACTCAAAAAAAATAAATTTTTTTTTTTTTTTTTGTAGAGATGGGACCTTGCTCTATTGCCCAGGCTGGTCTTGAACTCCTGGCCTTTGGCAGTCCTCTTGCCTCAGCCTCCCCAAATGCTGGGATCACAGGCATGAGCCAACCATGCCCAGCCCTTTCCAATTTCCTTCATTCCGTCCCTGTTCTCCTGCTCTCCATTTCCTTTCTGTTTTGTGTTGTTGTCAATATCCTGTTTTGCATGGAGCTGTTTCTCCACTCAGGTCTATCTTTCCTTCCTCTTGTCTCTTTTCTGGGTTTCCTTTTCCTCTTCTCATCTGCCTTTTCCTGACCACCTCTTCCTACTTCCTCGGGAGCCCTGAGACGTCTTTCTCCTCCTCCCACCTGCCTCCAACGGTGCTGAGCTCCACACATCCACACCCCACTTTGCAGCTGTTCACGCCCCGGCCTCCCGAGGGCCCTCATTGCCAAAGCATGCCTGCCCGCCCTCGCTGTGCCTTAGTGTGTGTATATGTGTGTTTGGGGGGTGGGGGTGGGTAGCTAGGAATTGGGATCCCTTTCTCTCCATGGAGGAGGGGGTGCAGTGCTCCTCCCCTTTAAAAAAAGTTATTTGGAAGTCAATCATTTCCAGTGGGCGGGAGGCTTTACGCACAGACCCTGGGTCCTAGGCCCCCTGCCTGGCACTCAGCCTTGGCTCCAGAATTTTTGCCAGGCTTGCTGAAAGCCCACTGCCTAGAAGCCATCTTAAAGGAAAAAAGGGACGATGGATGCTTTTTATCCCAACTGTTCTCTGGTGTCAAAAAGAAAAAGAGTTGGGGCTGGGTGCGGTGGCTCATGCCTGTAATCCCAGCACTGGGAGGTCGAGGTGGAAGGATCACTTGAGCCCAGGAGTTAGAGATTAGCCTGGGCAACATGGTGAGACCCTGACTCCAAAAAAAAAAAAAAAAAAAGGAAAGAAAAACGAGTCAGGAAAAGAACCACAGTGGCTTGAAGACAACTGTCTGAAGTATTTCTGAAGGGCAGCAACATGGCTCTCTAGCCTCAGCGTTAAAAATATGGCCTAGCTGGGCACGGTTGCTCACACCTGTAATCCCAGCACTTTGGGAGTCCGAGGCAAGAGGATTGCTGGAGCCCAAGTTGCCCAAAACCAGCCTGGGCAACTTGGCAGGACCTCATCTCTACAATAAAAAGAAGGGTGTGATGGTACATGTCTATGGTTCCAGCTACTTGGAAGGCTGAGGCAAAAAGATCACCAGAGCCTATCAGGTGGAGGCTGTAGTGGCCATGAGCAGCATGCCACTGCACTCCCCCACATGGTCAACAGAGTGAAACTCAACTCAGAAGAAAACAAAAAAATACCATGGCAGGAAGAACAAGAAAATGGCCCTGTGGCTTTCAAGGCAATATTAGCCTGGGTTTCTTTTTTTATTTTTTCCTTTCTTTTTCCTGGTTATGAGGGCAAAATTTGCTGGGTGGCCCTAGTGTTAAGGAGCACGCTTCTTTTCAGGTTTTCTTTGGGGGTGGGGGGGTGGGGGGGAT